TTCAAGAACACTGTTATCTCCCTGCAGGACCTCGCATGTTTGCTTGTTAAGAACTTGTGCAGCTGTACCGCTCTTGCAGCTTTCAATACCATGTACGACCCCATCAAGCTCTGGGGAACAGAGGAACCCACAAAATGGAAGGGTGTAAGGGTTACCGCCGAACGTCTTAAACCTAGAGCATGCGTGAGGGGTTGACGGTTTAGGACATAGGGGCCGCGGGTTCGATAAGGGCGTAGGATGTAAGATTTGAGATTGGATTCACTTTGTAGGGTTTAGGCGAGGGGTTTGGATTCAGTGTTCGGGGCTTAGGGTTTCAGACCATGAACTTTAAGGTTTCAGGATTGTGGACTTCTGTGTTGAAGATTCGGTGCTGGCAAGGCTCATTGGAAGATCCGAGATCTGGCTTTCTCTGTCAGATTTCATCTTGGGGGCATCTGCACAACACAGATCCATGGGGATGGCTGCAACGAGCGAGAGCTGAAGCGCTGCTTGTCAGGATCACTTGGGCTCAGGAGTTTTTTGGGCTGTCGGATGGTGATAGACGTCGTAGCCTGGGGCCAGGAACCCTACAAGAATATCATGAGTATAGCAAGAGCACAACTGCGAATGATCACCATCAATCGGAGGTTGACATGTCATGGATCCAGAATCAAAGGCCTTGGCAGGCAAGACAGATGGGAAAGCTTCCTCACAAGCCACAACTGACATGATAGACCTCGCTTCCTTCCCAGCTGCGCCCTTTCAGTTCGCAGCACCACCCATCTAGCAATCTCTAGATTTGGAAGATCTGTTGGCGCGAAGTCCGACTATTGCGGAACGACGCTCACGTCGCACAGACGCAGGTCATGCGTCAAATGCTTTTGTTCGTGATTTACACGCGCCGCTGGGCACACTTGAAGCCAGGCAGAGCGGGCGTTAAAGCAAAGAGACATGATTGGCTGAGCGTGTTATATGGGCGTTGCTAGGGCTTCGGGTTTAGGGCTTAGGCGTTGGTTGCAGGGGCAACTTTAAAGGGTTGATGGGTTCAGGGCCTTCGGATACTTTGTCCGCGGTCACGAGCAGCTTGATCCACGAGCTGGCCCGATAGACCAGGGAGCAGAAAGAAATTAGAATAGGGGTGGGCATACATTCCAGCATAAGTGTATTAAGTCCCCCTCACAGATAGTATTGGTAATTAAGCAGGCCCCTAAGCTACTGCTTGCACTCTGCATTGAAGGCTTCAGCACCCCAGACTCGCCATGCCCATGTGCTTGCTGATCTCCTCCGCCGTCTGATGGAAAAGATCCTGATATAATGCAGGGGCCTGAAGAATAGGATCAGGGTTTTGGTGCACATGATGGTACATATATACAATAAGAGGTCTCGAGGAGTAGTATTGGTAGATAGTCAGGCCCGCTATATTACTCAATTTGCAAGGGGAACTAAAGGTTAATCTTTGGGACTACATGGGCGTCATAGTACCTCAAGAGATACAACTTCCTTCCTGCTTGGGTTTATATGAGGGTTACAGTAGCCCAAAAATCCAAGGGTAAAAGGAGGGACGCTTAAGAAGGACCCCTAGGTATATTATAGCTATTATATACCCATTATATAGCCCATTATAGGGTAGGGGTCCCCATTAAGGGTCCCTCCTAATTCCCCTTTGATAAAAGGTTAAAGATCACTTACTTTGCTGAGGATCCTTGACTTGTTCGCACGTCCAATCTATAGCGGCTTCGGCTCCCTCCACGCACCAATCCTGAGTTGTAGAAAGTACTGAATAGGGCCACGGTTTAGGGTTTACGGTTCCTGAGTTGTAGAAAGTACTGAATAGAAAAAACACAGATCCTTAGCCTTTAACAAAGAGTTGACATGATAAGCAGAATTGCAACTGAAACAAAAAAACATCTGTAGAAGGAGTGTGGGAGACGGATGCGGCTCCGGAGAGTCTTCGTTCTTTGGTGTTCCCCAATCCTCAACCCTCAACCCCCAAACTCCAAAACCCCTAAACCTTCAAAACCACCCTACAAATCCCAGAAAGCCCTAACCCCCGACCCCGAGAGCCCTTTCTGTCGCGGGATCTATAGGGGTTCCTCTGAGGGTGCCTTTGAGGTAACATTAAGGGTACCACAGTAAACCCCGGAAAGTTGGAAACCGGATTAAGGCCAAATAGTGCTGGGATTCCCTATAGATTACTCTTAAAACTTGAGGCTGTTGGGTTTCCAACTCTTGGGCTTCCACCCCTATACCCTAAACTTAAACCCCAAACCCCTAAACCCTAAACCCCTAAACCCCTAAACCCTAAACCCTAAACCCCTAAACCCTATATACCCTTTTGGGCTTCTACTATAAGCGGAGCATCAACCCAAAGATTCTCGCCGGGCCAGAGACGTGCTTCCTCGCAGATCTTGACCGACTCCTGCGTCGGGCGTTTAGGGTTCTAATTTGAAAGGGATCCGTTAAGGGCTCCTTAAAAGGATCCATAAGGGTTCCGTAAGGGGATCTATAAGGGTTCTATAAAGGGTTTAGGGTTTAAGGGAGTTTCCGAAAATTAGGGGTACCTTATTTTGGGGTCCTCATAATACGGATCCTACTATTTAGGGTACTATATTTGGGTCCCCCATTTTCGGAAACTCCCATATAGGGGCCGTTATATTTAGAGTAGGGCTTGGGGGGGGTGTATTATGCTATAATCATAGTAAGGAGCCCCAACATGGTACAGGTAATTAATTGGGCCCCTGTAGTAGGTTTGGGGCTTGGGGTGTGGAGCTTGAGGGTTTGGGTGGTTAGGGTTAAGGGTCGAGAAAATTGGGTTTAGACCTTTGGTTGTAGTGGTCCGGGTTTAGGGTTTCAACTGAGTGTCCATAAACATGCAGGCCTTAGCAGACTCGAGTACGGCAAGTACATGCATGTATACTGATAAACAAATCACGAACTCTAAACCCCCCTGTCTCACTTCAGGGTTTAGGGCCTAGTTTGCGAAGTGCTTCGGGTAAGATAGAAGCCTTAACAATTTTTGGAGTGTGCATGTGTATATGTATATGTATATGTATATATATATACTATGTGTGTGTATATATATGTATATATATATACATATATATATATATATAGATACACACACTATATGTAGAGTAGGAACAGCAAGGGGCAATGTTGGTAGTTATTCCGACACGATTGAGGGTCGCCGTGGAGGCCCCATGTTTTGTCGTATTTAGGTTGAGCGTTGCGGCTTGATGGTCTCCTTTTTCAGCGTCTTGCACTGCTTCTTGTTGATCTGGCCATCTGAGAACCTCGTTTACGGGTTTAGGGTGTAGGGTTTAGGCCTCCGCTGCGAAGCAGCCCATGAAGAGTAATAAAGGGGTTGGAAGAATCACCAATACTGTTCTTTTTTACTGAAAGGGCGTCCGCATTGAAGACTTCTTGTTATTCCGGACGCGGCATCAGAGGGTCAAGGTTTGGATTCAGGAGTCTGCGGGGTAGGGTTTTAAGTTTTAGGGTCCATGAATCGAGGGTCAAGAGATCAAGGCTCGAGCTGTAGTGCTCCCATAAGAAATCATGTGGAAAAGCACCGAAAAAGGCAATGCTTCAGGATCTGGGAACCAGTCCATCAACATTTCCAAGATGATCTCGGCGGCTCTCGCCAGGAAACGGCACTTGAGATGGTTCACCTCTAGGGCTTTCTCCTTGAGGGAATCGAGGGCATCCTCGGCCGTCTCTTGAGCATCTGAACTCTAGCATAGACCCAAAACCCTGAAGCCTCAACCCCACGGTTTAGGGTTTAGGGTTTAGGGTTTAGGGTTGAACTCCGAAATGCTACAACGCTACACCTCACGCCCTAAACCCCACCGGCTAAACGGCCGGCCTCGGCTGTCTGTTGGGCCTCTTCTGCCCGCTCCATCCAGTCTCTGGCCTTTTCCACTGTAGAATCTGCGACCTTTCCACCCTCCTCCATGGCCTCGTCGACGGCATCGTCGATTTTCCTCTTCCTGGGCTGTTGCGAAGTGATTGAACTAAAGTTACCATAATAGGGCTCTATGGTAAATACAATGGCTTCCTTACTATGCTAGCTTAAATTAAAGTTCCCCCAATCGGGATCTCCAGTAAATAGCATGGCTTCCCTGATTATGGAAACTTAAAATAGGAGTTTCCGAAAATTCGGGATGCCTTATTTTGTGGTCCATATAATAAGGATCCTATTATTTAGGGTACTACATTAGGGTCCCCCATGTTCGGAAACTCCCAAATAAATATATCCCTTGACAAGAACCCAGCTTCTGCTTCTTGTAGAAGTCTTCGATCTGGTCCACGACGCTTCCGCTCACCTTCTCAACCACCTGGGAGCTTTTCGCAAACAGAGGACTTTAATATAGTACCCTAAATTGTAGGATCCTTATTTAAAGGGCCACAACATACTAAACAGTAGGATCCTTATCGCAAGGACCCCAAAACAAGGTACCCCGAATTTTTGGAAGCTCCTACCTTGTCAAGCGCCTCGCCAAGCGTGTCTCGAGCTTCCCTGGCAGCTTCTCCAGTCTTCTCAACAGCCTCCGTTGCAGAGGGGTTTGATGTAAGTTACCAAACTGGGGAAACCATGTTATTTACTATAGATCCCGATTGTGTTAACTTTAAATGATGTTACCATAATAAGGAAACCATGTCATATACAATAGATCCCTGTTATGTTAACTTTAATTTAAGTGTATAATATTTGGGAAACCATGCTATCTACTATAGATCCGTATTATTGTAACTCTAGTAAAATCCCTTAACAAGAACCCAGGAGCATCCTCGCTGGCTTTCTGGATGGCCTTTGCGCCGCCTTTGATGATGTCCTTGGCTTTGTCGATGGCCTTCTTCGCTTCCTTCTCGATGGCTTTGCCAGCCTTTTTGGCAGCATCGTCGACGCCGTCGATGGCTTTCTTGGCGCCCTTCTCACTGGCCGAAAACCCAAGGAAATCGAAGTTGAAACTTTCAGAATCGACGTCACTATAAGAACCCCAAAAGTTGAAAAGTTGAGTTTACAGCCAATAAGCCTTTCCGATGTCGTCGAAGATGTCAAGTCTGCTGCGCGCAGGGCGCTCACTGCTTCGGCTGGAGAGGAGGCGTCGGCTCCCCTGGGGCAAAGCTGTCTCATAGAGGAAGGGCCACGATGCCCCCGAACATCCCAAGCTGGCGGCGCCCATGTGGTTGCCTGGTGAAGTTAAGGGGCCCACTCAAAGCTATGGTGGCTATGACAATACTATTCATTAATGCTGTGATTCTTCGTGTTAGCATAACTGCAAAATCTTGGTGTTCGGATTTTCCAAAACCCAGCTGCGGATGTCCACGGCCGTCTGGTGAAACAGATCTTTGACTTCGTCGCAGGTCCAATCGATGGCGGTTTTGCTTCCGTTGACGCACAGATCCTCGTCAATCATGCAGACAAGGAGAAGACGAAAAACACAACTTAACAGTTTTACACACTTACGGCGATTCTTCATGCAATCCTTCTAAGTTCGTGTGTTGACCTCCGGGAAAAGGACAATTCCAAACGAGACTGGAATCGACAATCCAATCCTCCCAGTGCTCCTGGGGCCAAAGCCGTGCTAGCCTGGGTTCGGTTCTGGTCAAGGGATTTAACTTTAGTTCCATGAATAAAAACCATACTGTTAATGGATCCCTATCATGATAGCTTCAGTTTAAGTTACCATAAATAAACAGCCAGATTATTTACTATAGATCCCTAATATGGTAACTTTAAATTTAAGTCACCATTAGAAGGAAACCGTATTATCTACTATAGATCCCGATCATGGCCCAGCAACTTACAAGTCTTTTCTGACTGACTTTTCATCTGCTTGCACGCCTTCTTGTCGATAGTGCCGCTCGACCACCAACTCGTCAGACTCTCCAGGATTGTCTCAGCAACCCTTGTCAAGAGATCACACTTGAAAGCTATAGCATCTGCAAGTACCTTCTGGATCACATCGGCCGATTTCTCCAAGGCCTCTGAGCCATACTTTCGTGCAGCATTTCGAGCCTTTATAGCAACGTCTGCCGCGATCTCGGCCTGATCTTTCGCATCTCTGGCTACTTTCCTGGGCTTTTAAGCAACCAGGAGAAAAAATATAAACTCATATTTCATAAGGGTTCCTTTAAGAAAAAAGTATTAAAGTATGGTACTTCGAAGCCCAGTTTCAGATAATGCTTCCAATGATCCTCGGCCCTGTCCTGCGTTTGGTCACCGGCTCTATGCTTTTAGGGTTCAGGCAGGGTTTAGGGGGTTTAGGGTTTAGGATTCAAGGGGTTTAGGGTTTAGGATTTAGGGGGTTTAGGGTTTAGCTGGTTTAGGATTTAGGGTTTAGGGTTTAGGATTTCGGGTGGTCTCTAACATGCCTCGGGCCTGTCCTTCAGTTTCTTCACGGCCTCGTCGCCCAAGTCCTCGAGCGCGTTGTACATGTCTTTGGGGCTCGGGAACTCCGCGCGCTGCGCTTCTGCGAGGCGCCGGCTTCCCTGAAGAAGGCCTGCGGTTTGCGATTTAGGGTTGAAGCCCCAAACCCTAAACCCTAAACCCTAAAGAGTTGAGGGTGGAGGAGACCACGGCTTATGAGGCTTAGGCCTAGGCTGTACTATAGGCGCCTTTATAATTACCTATGTTATTTTGGGGGCTCCTTATTAGAATTGTAGTAGAATGGGCCCCGAAACCCTATTCTAATTATTGAGGCCTCTATATTAGGAGCTGCGGACCTGTGTCATCGGCAGCTCCCGAACACCTGGCATCATCGCACCGGGCGTCTTCGGAGCTGCTGAGGTAGCAGAGACCCAGAAGGATCAGCGCACGTGGCAGAGCAGCCATGGCGCGTGCGGTGGGATGCTGCAGCTCCAAACCCTAAACGGCCCTGAATCCTGGGTCCATCGACCGGCCCAAAGCAGCGGGTGGTCGGAAAGAGAAGACCATGGAAGGACCTGAACAGTATGTCAGGTCTTTGAACTCATGGGGTTTACGCTTTGGGGTGTCGGATTGAGGGGCCAGGTCCGGGTTTAGTTTTTAAGGCATATGGGTGTAAAGTATGTGTAAAATGAATCATATCTTTACAGGTCGTGGGGTCATGCAGGGCCCTCTCCCCTCTCTGATACTGTTGTCGCACGTCATGATGCCACTTTGTTTGGTGTAACATCAATGACAGGGATGGTGGCCACGACGTCAAAGGCAGAAACGAGAGTACCGAATTAAAACAAAGCCGGCATGACGGTCGCAGACATCCTGGAAGTAGCAAGAGTCAAGAAGCATCTCTGTTTTGCGGTTAGTTGTGAGACTATGTAGCGATGGTGGCAGTGGTACTCTTGGCCTAGGCCGTAGGCTGTAAAGCCGGAAGGTTGTCTTCATGCAACAATGTGGGAGTTTCCGAAAATAGGGGACCCTAATGTAGTACCCCAAATAGTAGGATCCTTATTATAAGGGCCCCTAAATAAGGTACACCCTAATTTTCGGAAACTCTAAACCCTAAACCCTTTATAGTACCCTTATAGGATCCCTTTAAGGAGCCGTCATAGATCCCTTTAAAGGAGCCCTTATAGATCCCTTTAAGGCACTCCCATGTTAGCTACTCCACCCAGGTTCTGATCTGGCGGAGCCGCGGAGTAATCTGGGTGTAAAAATGCTCTCTTCTAGTGCCATGGGTTTAGGGTTTAGGGTTTAGGGCATGCACTGAGGAAGGTTCAAGCCGCTGCAAGCCTGTCCGGATATGATCCCTTTGGAAGCTTTTGTCCGTCCGTAGGAGCGGGCATTTCAGTACAGCGGGCTTTGGAAGAGTGTTCTGCGAGGTCCGGCTGTTGCGGACGACGCTGTGGCCACGCAGGTCATGCGTGTCACCACTTCATCGCGCAACACTATCAGAAAGCGGGAATCTGGTGCTTTGCTCTAGTCACTAGTCGCAATTGCAATCATTCACGTCACAACCGTCATCACCGGGAGCATCCTATGCTTGCGGCACCCATATGTGCACGCACCTCCTCTGCCGTCGTGTCGAACCAATCTTCGACTTCACTACAGGTCCACTGGATGGCATCTTTTGTTCCGTTCACGCAGAGCTCCTGAAGATTGGTGCTCAGGGCTTCACGACATGATCATGCCTTTTCCCTTGCTAGTCTTTCTTGGTTCGGACCAGCCACGTTATTATCACAAGCAGTGCTGCTGTCGATATCACACTGGGATTGCTGTTGCTGCTAGTGTTGTTTTGGGAAGAGAAAACGATCCAAATGTGCCCAGAGTCAACCGTCCAGTCTTCCCAATGCTCCTCTGGCCAGAGCCGTGATTGTTCACACATCTGCCTTGAGTCCTTCCGCATCTCCTGGCACAAATCAGCGAAGCCCTACTCGCTCAAGCGTAAACCCAAAGCAACTAAACATGTAAACCATCAATCCTAGATCATAGACCCTGAAACCGGAAACTTGAAACCATCTCCTTGCATTTCTCAGTGCTGATTATGCCTCCCGAGAACCAGTCTGCAAGACGCGCCAGGATCAGAACGGCAACGTCCTTCCTTAGATGCTCAACGACGGGACATCTCTAGTGCTCTTAAAAACAAGCATTTAAGGTTTAAAGGTTCTGGGCTTGGGGTGTAGAAACAATCTAGCCTCTAAACCCTGGAAGTGTGGTTCCGACCCCTAGAGCTGGGCTGTTCACAGAAGCCTTTTTCAAAATTAGAACTCTGGTTCTGTCTTGCGACCACAGGCACCGAAATCAAACATGATCTCCCAAAACTGACCAGGCAGCACTAAGCCAACACAAGAAAAAGACTCACCCTCGAAACCGTAAACTAAACCCCAACCGCAACCGAAGCGGCAGGAGTTCACACTTGGCTCTCAGCGCCTCCTCACTGGCTTCCGGCTCTAGAATTTCAGGCCTTGGGGCTTAGGGGATGTGGGAGGGATGTGGGGTCCGATCTTACAGACTTTCATTATGGGGCCTGACCAACTAGACAATGACGCAATAAAAAATTTACCACAACTATGAGAGGATGTCACTTCTTCAAACCTCGATTTTGGGGCTTGCGGCAAACCCTATGGGAAGCTTCGACTGCCTTGAAGAAAGGACCGGGGGTGAACCCCGTGAGTGGAGTTGAGGGTTTAGGGTTTAGGGTTTAGGATTTAGGGTTTAGGGTAGAGTTGACAACAGCTCCTGGACTTTGTCGTCAATCTTCTCCGCGACTTGGTCGGCCATCTTCTTTACATCATCGGCAGCTTCTGCGGCGCGTGTTGCCGATTTCTTAGCCACTTCGACGATATCTTCCGCTCCTTCTAGCGACTCCTTGATCACTTTCTTGGCCGCCTTCTGCACCCTTTTCTCCACACTCTTGCCCACCTCATGCAGCGGCTACAAAACCCCTAAACCCAGATCCCTGAAACCTACAGCCTAAAGCCATCAACAACCTGAACCAGGAAGCCCTGGGCCCTACAGCTTCAGAACCCAGAATCGAGAGCCCTTCAAACCCTACTGCGCACCTCGAACCCTAAAAAGCTTGTCTACGAGTCCACGAGTAACAACCTTAGCCCCAAACCCTAAACCCCATAACCCTAAACCCCATAACCCTAAACCCTGAACCCTAAACCCTAAACCCTACACCCACCTTAGCCATGGAGTCCAAAAGATCGCCCACAATGCCACCGCTGCCGTCACGGTCCTCCCCCTCCTCGCCCTCACGGCTGGAGAGCAAGCGCCGGCTTTCTTGGAGCAGGCCTTGTGGTTCAGAGTTGGGGGTTGAGGGCTCAGGACTTCGCGTTGAGGGCGCCAGGGGTTTAGGGTTTAGGGGTAGGGGTTGAGGGTTGAAGGAGGGCTTTGGGGTGGGCCTGTGTCATCGGCAGCTCCAGGGCAACTGGCATCATCGCACCGGGTGTCTTCGGACCTGCTGAGGTGGCAGAGCATCAGAAGGACGAGCGCGCGTGGCAACGCAGCCATGGCGTGCCGTGTCTGCGGAGCAAATTGGGGGCAGAGGGCCCAAAAAGCTTGGTGCTGAAGCCGTTAAAACACCGCACGGACCCCCATCGGGTTCGCCGGGCGCCAGACTAAACTGTGGCTGCCCTCAGGCTCTAGCGATACCATCAACCATAAACCACCCCAAAACCCAAACCCCAAGCCCTAAACCCTGAACGTGAAACACTTGAACTCAAACCGACACCGAAACCCTGCACGCGAAACTCTACATACACCCTTCTTGAAGTCAGTGGTGCTGCATAGGGTGTTCTACGGGTCTTAGCGCTAGGTTTAAGATACTTCGGGATTACAATAAATGATCCCTGCGGTTGCGGTTAAGGGTTGACAGCGGGGTCCCTCATTCTCCGAAACTGCCTATGTTGCAGCAATGATAGCAGACTGTATGACGGGCTGGTGAAGCATCTGTCGTGCTGATAGCTTTAATGCCAGGTGTGGTCCATTTGCTCAGCACTCTTCTCAACATTTTGCCACTTGCCGCTGATGTTATCGAAACATCTCTTTGTTCGTCGTCGCTGCTGATACTCGCGACATGGACGCACGGTTCCATCGTTCAACGTTTCCTTGCAAAGCCTCACCTCAATTCAAGGTTTCTGGTCTTAGTTTTTTGGGATTTACCATTCCAGCGTTAAGGCTTCGTGCTTCTAGGGTATCCTTCCCGTCGACAAGCCGTGAATTCTAACCCCGAACCCCAGACCCTACAAAGCGGTAATCCCAAACACTAACCCCAACTCCCTTGAAACTAAACTGTAAAGAATACGTCAGGGTGCCAGCAGTAGGGTTTCAGCTTGTAGCTGGTTTGAGGGTCTAAGGTTTCGGGTTTAGGGTTTAAGTTTTAGGGTTTAGGGCCGGGAGTTTCTAAACCCGATAAGCCTTCAGCCATCTTTTTTCTCTGGCCTCACAGTCAGGTCTGGTTTCTTTCAGAAGTTGCTCAACAGCATGCTGGCCCACAAGTGCCTCAAACTGACCCAGGGGCCGAAAGCCCTGCTCCAACCTACACCCTAAGCCCTTAACCCTAAACCGCTTAACCCTAAACCCCATAACCCTAAACCCCATAACCCTAAACCCTGAACCCTGAACCCTAAACCCTACACCCTAAACCCTAAACCCTACACCCTAAACCCTAAACGCTAAACCCTAAACGCTAAACCCTAAACCCTATCAAATCATTGCTCCCGAAGCCCGAAGCCTAAGCCCTGCCCAATAACGGAACCACTTATCAACCCCAAATAGAAGGGTCCATGCGAGAAGCCTATAAGCACCACATGACCTTTCAACAAAACATGGCAGAATCCTCATTACAACATCTTTCGAAACAAGGCACCCCTTCCTGCCCTTGCCTTGAGAAACACGTATGTTTTGGACCTGCTTCGGCCAGCTTGAGACAGCACTCCGAGACGGCTCGTGCGCGCCTGGGATGAACCGACGGTGCACGCATCTGAGAGTTGCGGCTCATGGTTTAGGGCCGCTGTCTTCTTACAATAAGGCTAGACCGTGGTTGTCACATTTCCAACTCTGCTGAGAATCCTTTGCATGAAGCTCGTGATCATGATGATAACCCTAAACCCTAAACCCTAAACCCTAAACCCTAGACCCTAAACCCTAAACCCTAAACCCTAAACCCTACTGATTCTGCGAAGCCCCGGCTCAGAGGCTCGAGAGTCTGTGACACAGAGGCCTTCGCAGATTGCTCGAGCATCCTGCGGGAAAAAGGCCTCGGTACGAGGAGAGCACCGCTTCGGTTCCCACACCTTAGGAAATCGACCTCCCGATTCAAGACCCATAAGCGCAGAGATGCAAGGCGGGGACATCGTGGGCGGAAAAGACCTCTGACGCTGCATGTTCTGATGCAATCCCGGACTTTC